GTTATATAGAGAATATATGACCAGCAGTGAAATGTAAGTCAGGTCCGCTCCATGGACAGCGCAATTATTAAAGAATACAAACACAAGAAAAATATATATATAAATATAGGTATGAAAAAAAAAAAAGATTAAAAAAAAAAAGAATAAAATAAAATGTGCAGGGGACACAGCCCTGTGGAGCTCCTACGTTCAGGGTGATGGAGTTGGAGGTGAACTGTAGAACAACTGGAGTTGTTTCAGCCACTGCTGTTACCTATTGGTTATTTGGGGCATTTGGAGAGTTTCCTTTTTTCTCAACAAATATTGATATAGAATTATTTGCGACTAATTATTTAATGAGCAAATCATGCAATTATTTTGATTAAAAAATATTAATTGATAGTCCTAATTCTTACTCAATATTTAATTGTAATACGACTTATCCACTCCCTGGTAAGAGCATCACTAAAGTTATAACTGAAGCTGAAATGTGTGTGCTTGATGCATTAAAACAAACTCGTTGCATTTTTGAGCTTCTGTTTTCCATATTTACAGTATTTATCGATTGCTAACACACTATAACTGATTCATTTGGCACAATTTTCCAAACCATTCATACAGTTCTCGAAACAAAGACACATTTCTCAAAACTTTTAACACATTTCACCTGTTTTCACACACGTTCCAATTTGCTCAGTGGTTTCTGTGAAACTGTATACAAGAACAGCATCTTTTTGCACAGGCTTAACCATGTTCTCATTTAGAAAACACAAACTCACAATATAACTACCTCAAGAATCACAAAATGAACACAAATAGCACACATTTATCCAAGTGTAATCATTAAGTAGCAAAACTGATGACACAGCTCAGAATCTCAGGATGATATAAAAAGGAGCACAGGTGATTGTGATTTGGAAAATGAATCCTACTAATTGGAGACAAAGAGGAAGAAGAGGGGAAAAGAAAAATTAAGGGGACGGGGTAAAAGTACATTTATTCCTGATGAAATACACAGCGCTGTAGTTGATCATGTTCATGTGCATGAGGACAGCTGGACTACAGGCTCATCTACAGGCCTTCAATACTACTTACAGATCAAATATAATGACAGAAGAGTAGCAGTACTTCAGATGAGATAACTTTTAGTGGTGAGCTTAATTTTGACCTGAAAATAGGAAGTATGGGGAATTGGGTGAGAAGTTATGGATTTGTGTTTAGAGTTTCGAGAAAAGGAGTCACAATTTCAAGAAATGTGTTTAAGCAAACGAGAAAACTGTACCAATACTGTAATACATCTTGGCAGAGGATGCTGAATTTATTTATTTATTTATTGCTGTACAGTAACTGACAGTATATTCCAATGTGTGTTTACTGTATATTCAGTTGTTTGGTTTTTTTACTTTTCTAGTGCTTTTCATCTACTGTAAGATCAATTTACAGTAGTTTAATGAACGTAAATATTTCTTACAGCTTATTGCTGAATTTCATTTTCGCTCTATCTGCACCACTCTATTTATGCTGCATACTGTAACAGTCATTGACTTGCAGGATTCCTGTTTCCCAAAAGGAGGTTTTTGTATCAGTGTTTTGAATTGATCTCACTAGTGTTCTCTAGGCAGGAAAATAGTCTGTGTATTTGACAGGTTTGTTTGTCATCTGAGGCCAAAGATTAGATTCTGACAAAAGAGAATATGTTTTTGATTAAAATGTTTGACTTTGACCTGGAAGTTTGAAGTTTGCACAAGTTGGTGTGTAGTTTTGAGATTGTGTTTATAGTTGTAACTGTAATGTGCATAAGATAAAATAAAAATGCAAAAATAGCTTTTAAATTTACAAACAAAATTGTGAGGAGTAAAAATAACTCTATTTCTTCAGAATTGTAATCAAGTAAAAGTACAAGTAATCTTTTTAAATTGTACAAAATAATACTTAATTACAGTAATCAAGTTAAATTACTCAAGTGTTTTCCATGCAATGTTCATAACGCACCACAGCTACAGTATATCTGACAATCATAATATCTCACCTGGACTCAACAGAAGAGTTTTCCTCTCTGTAGCGATCTGAAAGATCCATTGGTTGTTTTTTCCTCACAGAAACATTGCTGTGTTCAGGTAAATCTGATTCACCTCCCTGAATCAGACTAAAAATTAAAATGCGAATGTAGTATGCATTTATTGTTTCTGAACATAAAAAATGTGAAACATATCAAGTTTCCTCACCTCTTGACTGTCTTTATCTTTGTTTCATGTTCTTCAGAGAAATTCATTTTGAAGGCCATGGTTTCATCTAAAAGCAGATAAAGATGTGAATCCACAGAGGGAGTTATGAATCATCTCAGCAATTAATTTTCTCAAATCCACCTTTGCCTCACAGTAATGACCTACACACATCATTTACATTTAGTCATTTTGCCGATTCTTCTTAAAGAGGCAAACAGACACAGGAAGTGCTTGAAATACCAAGTTTTAGGCCTTGTTTAAATAAGTACAAGTTAGAAAAGGGAAGGAATAAATAAAGAGAGAAAACGAAATATTCCTTCCTAGCAGCAAGTAATAATTTAAACAATAGATCTATAACAAGTATTATGCAAAACACTCACGCGTTGCCATCCTTCTCTTCTGTTGACTAATCGCTTATCCCAGATAACCATCAAAATGAGTGATGGTTTCAAGAAAGTTTTAGCAATTCAGAAAAACTGTAAAAGCAGTTTCATCCTTCCTTTCATCATGAGGTTAGGGTTATTATTTACATAGAATCAAATTACAGCATAACAGCATTTCAAATTCAGACAAGCACTGTGTTAAATGAAAGGCGGAATCTGACGATTTACAGACTCTGTGTTTTATCTTCTAATGTAATTTAAACAACTTTCAAAATATCTGATACTGCTTATTGTTTACTTCACTTTAAACCAGACTTGATTTATTTTAGTTATCAAAGATGATTGTAAAATAGTGATACTTACTGTGTTTTTCTCTCTTAATGTCGTTTATTTCCTCATATGACAAAATGGATCCTGCTATAATAGTTTCACTTTCTTGTGTCACCTGACACCGGGGAGTTTATGTGTCCAAAACAGACTATAAACTGTTTAGAATCTTCTCTTAATATTGAATTTCATTCTGTATTATTCAAAGTTATAATCCATGAATGCATTTCCCCCACAGCTGTACTCTGAGTGTTTTTTAACTGAATATATAAAGGCAGCTCTCTGTAACATATCAAACTTATGACTCTGTCAACTTCCTCACCACTTGCTCCCCCTAAAGGATACAAGTGGAATATTTTAACAGTGTCAAGAATGCAGTTATTTTCTTTAGTAATGTGAGAAGCAAAAAAGCAATAATAATTTGGCTATATGTTACAAACTTACCTATTTCAAAAAGTTATATAAATCAAACATATCAAAACCAGGATATAAGTGTAAAAAATGGCTGCTGATTAGTCTTTACAGATTCTCATCTGCTACTAACAATATTTACAATATAACAGACTTTACAGTAAACAACAACAAAATCCAAATTAATTACCAGAAACAGATTTATTTTAATACAACACAATAGTCTGAAGTCTCAACAGCCTCTCAATGCTGCACATATTTAGAACTATACAGTCCTTGATAGGTGTCACGATCTCTAACTGGAGTGCCCACAAGCTCCGCTAGATGGCACCCCATCCTGCACCCTTTACCACTCACCCCTCACCCCTCACCTTCATTTCCCATAATCCTCTGCCTAGATACATCATCAATTGCAATCACCTATCTCTTATCAGATCTCATCATCAGTTCACAGCTGTCTCACATTAGAAGGACTTTAAAAGTAGCACACACACTCTCTGACTTCCTGGTGATTGAATGTTAGCCTGTATGTTTTCTAGTTTCCGTGTTCCTACCAGTGTTTCCTTGTTTTGCCTTGCCTTCGTGTTTTTGTATCTTGGACTGTTTACCTGGTTTCCTGATTGTTTGCTGCCTGCCCTGACCATTGACTGTTCTGTGGATTACTCTTTTGCCTGAACCTTTGATGTTTCTGTTTGCTGGTGTTTTGACCCTGCCTGTTTTGACTACGCTCTTTCAATAAAGCCTGCAATTTTATGAAATCATGTTAAAAGACATTTTCCGTTATGGACTCAATCAGCCAACAAGATCATGGTTACCTGGAGGGGAATTTAATTGTAGTTTGAGAGACTTAATGGACTATGCTCTTTTGTTATGTGGTTCTCCATTCACTGTGGGAGAGGCAGAACCTCTTCACAAAATGGGTGCCAACCCAGAGGCTGTTCACAAAATGGCTACCATCCCAAAGACTTGTCAAAAAATGGCAGCCAACACAGGGACTTTTCATAAGATGGCTGCCAGCCCAGAGTCTCATCCTGTCATGGTCACCTTTCCAGAGTCTCGTCATGTCAAGTCAAGTCACCGCTGATCTTCCTGAGTCAAGTCACTGCTGATCTTCTTGAGTCAAGTCACCGCTGATCTTCCTGAGTCAAGTCAAGTCACAGCTGATCGTCCATAGTTTCGTCACTTCACAGCTAGTCGCCCAGAGTATCGTCACTTCACAGCTGATCGTCCAGAGTCTCGTCACGTCACAGCTGATCATCCAGAGACTGTTTACTTCCTGTCTGTTGCACCCAGATCTCCAAAGTCAGTTCGTCAGTGTCCCAGACTGGCATCCAGCGTGGAGGATCCACCGCTGGTGTCAGCAGGCGCAGCTGGTATCCCCAAACCCACTCACTCTAGCCCTCCTGTTCCTGAACTTATTCCCCTGTCTGAAGCGCTTCCCATGATGGGGATCGTTTAATGTGGGTTTGGGCTGCATACACCACCACAGAACCTCCCGATGTGGCAGTGTCCACTATGATTTCTCCAGAGGTGGCAGCTGACGCTGCAGAACCTCCCGAGGTAGTGGCAATCGCTGCTGTGTCCCCAGAGGTGGCGGCATATGCTTCAGCACCTCCTGAGGCGGCGGTGCTCGCTTCAGCCCCTTGTGTGGTGGTGGCACCCAGCAATGCACTTTCAGCCCGTCATGTCACGGTCGAAGAGTGTACTGAACTCCGTATATACTCTGTCAAGGAAAATGTAAATGGATTCTCCCTGTTTCCTGATGCTTCTGTCAAGACCACAAGCGCTGTCTTGGAATTCTCTGCATTTGTTGAAACTCCTGATGCTACTGCTGTAGAACCACCAGAGGTGGTGGCATTCGCTGCAGAACCTCCAGAAGTGTCAGTGGTATCCACTTATCAGCTCTCTACCTGTCCTGTTACAGTCAAGGAGACCGTCTATGAACTCTCTGCCTGTCCCATCACGGCTATTAGAGGCCGTCTGTGAACTCTCTGCCTTTCCTGTCACGGCTATGGAGGCTGTCTGTGAACTCTCTGCCTGTCCCGTAACGGCTATGGAGGCCATCTGTGAATTCTCTGTCTGTCCTGACAAGACCAAGGAGGTCGTCTTTGAAGTCTTTGTCTGTCCTGTCTTGTTCAAAAGGGCTGCCCCTGACCTCTCTGCTCGCCCCGTTACGGCCAAAGGTGCTGTTTCTGAACCATCTTTCTGTCTAAATTCTGCTGTTGAATCTGATTTTGAACTATCTGTCTTGCCAATTTCAGTTAATGAGTCTAATTTTGAACTGTCTGTCTTGCCAGTTCCAGTCAATGAGTCTAATTATGAACTGCCTGTATAATGTCTGCCCATCCAGTTTTCCTTAATGAATCGAATTATGGACTATCTGCCTGTCCAGTTCTCCCAAATGTGTCTGATTGTGAACTGTTTGTCTCTACCGCTTCAGTCAATGCATTTAAGTTTGAACCTTTTGTCTGTCCAGTAACTGCCAAGGAGGCCATCAATGTACTTTCAACACTGTCTGTCGTGGCCAAGGAAACTATTAATGAACTCTCAGTGCCTTCTACCTCTTTGGGGCCATAAGTACACTGTCTGTTTCCTATGTTTCAGTTCCTACGAGGTCTCGGCCCCGGTTTCCTTATCCATCTGCTCCGTTGTGGTGGTCTTCTGCCTTGCTCTGGTGGTCTTCTGCTCCGCCGTGGGGATCTTCTGCTCTGTCTGCTCCACCGTGGGGATCTTCTGCTCTGCTGTGGTGGTCTTCTTCCCTGCTCTGGTGGTATTCTACTCTGTCTGCTCCATCGTGGGGATCTTCTGCTCCATCTGCTCCGCTGTGGTGGTCTCTGCTCCGCAGTGGGGATCTTTTGCTCCGTCTGCTCCACCGTGGTGGTCTTCTTCCCTGCTCTGGTGGTCTTCTGCTCTGTCTGCTCTGCCGTGGTTGTCTTCTGCTCCATCTGCTCCGCCATGGTGGTCTTTTGCCTTGCTCTGGTGGTCTTCTGCTCCGTCGTGGTGGTTTCCAGCTCCACTCTGGTGGTCTTCAGCTCTGCCTGCCTCACCCTAGTGGTCTTTTGCTCCGTCTTGGTGTTCCTCAGCTCCACCCTGGCTTTCTGCTCTGCCAGCTCTGCCCTGGCTTCCTGCTCTGCTGGCTCGATGCTTGCTGCCAGCTCCACCTCGGTTCCCAACTCCGCCTTGGCTCCTGGCTCTGCCTTGGCTTTCTGCTCCAAGGGCTCTGCCTTGGCTTCCTGACCTAAAGATAACGACGAGTTAATAATTTTGAGAAGCGGTTCTTCTGCTACATGTAACAATTCTTTCAGTAATTTAGTGGGTATAGGATCTAACAGGCATGTTGTTGGTTAAGATGCAGTGATAAGTTTATTTAGCTCTTCCTGTCCTATAATTGTAAAGCACTGCAGTTTATCTTTTGGTGCGATGAATGAAGCTGAAGTATTATACGCTGTAGAATCTACATTTGTTATTGTATTTCTGATGTTATCTATTTTATCAGTGAAGAAATTCATAAAGTCATTACTATTAAACTGTGAGGGAATATTTAGATCGGCTGGCGTCTGGTTATTTGTTAATCTAGCCACTGAGCTAAATAATAACCTTGGATTGTTTTGGTTATTTTATTTGGTAGTTTGTGGATATGCTCGGCCCTGGCAGCTTTTAGAGCCTGTCTATAGATGGACATACTGTTTTTCCACGCAATTCTAAAAACTTCCAAGTTAGTTTTTCTCCATTTGCACTCAAGACTACGAGTTTCTTTCTTGAGAGAATGGGTATTACTGTTGTAACATGGCGCAGTACGTTAGCCGCTCTTATTGTTTTTGTTGTAGAATACGATAGGGGATATATTCACACATTATAGAAACGAAAATGATGGTGTATAAAATTGATTTTAAGATAAAAAATTAGACGACAAAGAATTAACTTGACGGAGCTCCAACTCAAAACACACAGCAGCAACAAACAGGAAGTGACGTCGAGTGTGACGTCAAAACACTTCATATATGTCTCAAAATAAGCTCGTTTCACCATAACACTGGCAACAATTCCCATTCAGAAAATATACAATTCATTCATAACACACTGATTTAAAAAAAAAAAACACTAACAACGAGGAGCATTACATAAATTATGAACTTTTATCTTTGAAGTTTGAATGATTTGTCACATAATTATTTCATTATAGGATAAGAATAACATCTTTTCATTTTACTGACTATATTACAGCACAAAGAATGAATCAGAAAAGCAGTATTTCCCCCCTATATCTTTACACACCAAAAAACAGAAACCCATTAACATTTACAAAATTTACATGTTAAAAATAAAAATAAAAACAATAAAAAAAAAAGTTGAAAAAAATAATAAATTCCTGAAGCAATAATAAAAAATAAAATAGACAAAACCCCCATCAACAGCATGTCTGGTATAATGAGGTTCAGTATGTGCAGTATTGGAGTCCCAGCTGCTCCAGGAGGCCTTTCTATGTGGAGTTTGTATGTTCTCTCCGTGTTGATGTTGGTTTCCTCTGACCCAGGAAAGGCTCCAGCCTCCTCATGACCCTACATAGGACAAGCGCTAGGGAAAATGTATGGAATAGATGGATGGATGTACAGTATTGTGAGGGTTTTAGTCCTCCCTCTCTCTGCCACTAATGTTTTCAAACAAAATCTTTCTGAAGCCATCCTGATTTTTCAAAAGATAACCAAAAAAGAAAGAAGAAGAAAAGACAAAAAATAGGACACCTGGCTTGGC